ATTTTAAGGAAATCAAAATTTATTTATAAACTAACCACATGGCTTTGACATTTCAAGAAGCTTGGATTTTTTTTCTTCAGTTTGTCTTTTATTCTCCCCCTCTATTTTATTGAGATTTTTTTGTTGTGATTCATATTTCTTCCCACTTTTTCCTTTGGAAGTTCTATGTAAAGTTATCATAACTAATAAGTGCACTTTAATAGTAACCAATTGATAGAATTTGTGTTCTGCTTGTTTACATTTTTAAATTATAGCAAGTTAGCTCCCCATATAATTTGTTCCCACCAAAAGATTTCCCCGGAGGATTGACGTCCAGAGTTTCTTTAGGTTTGTTCAAGCTGTGACTGTTTTGTTTAATCTCATCTAAATGGTCCTTAAAATGGATAAAACCCGTTTTTATTCTTCACTGCGCTCCAAAAGTTTTGTTTTTTTTCCTCCTTCCTCTTACCCCAATTTTTCAATTAGTATTCTCTAACAAGCCAGGTTTGCTGAAGGTTTAGGAGATTAACAGAACCCAGGAAGATTTTAGTGCAATACTGTACAGTTAATTTTGCTTTATTGTTGATTTTTAACTTGTTAAGAATTTTTATATTAAGCCAAAAGACTATTTGTATAGCAAAAATCCTTTATTTTAAATTAAGATTCCTCAATTACCTGGCATTAATATATTTATTAATTGAAATGGAAATGGGGAGAAATTTTGTTATCAAATAATTAGGTAAGAACTCCTCAGGACTTAAGTAAATATTCATTTATCCCAGAGTATTGACACCTGTGAAATTTGGGTACAAAATTTCTTGAGATAAAACAAAAAAAGTTCATTTTTTGCTCATGAAATAATTTAAAAAGGCTTCATTAAAACAAATTTCTGAACAGAGAATATATTTCAAACCTGTTTGACAAAAACATGGTTAATAAATTAAATGTTAAAAATGTCCCCAGTTGCATACTGCCATAAACAATGAGTAAAAATAAAACATTTGATTCCCCCTGAGGTAAATTGAGTAGTTCTTTTCAAACAACCCTTTGCTGTTCTTTTTCTTGTTGAAATACTATTTTAGTCCAACACAGGAATTTACATTTGTTGAAATGTGGCTTATTATTATATAAACATATTTAGTTGCATGAGATTATTGAATGTTATTTTAATTATTTGATGTACCGCAATGTAGGGCTCGTCTGAATGTTTTTTTTTGGTTTTTTTTTAAGACCCAACCAGGTAACTGACCCTGGTTAGTTGCTTGATCATGTCATCATCATTAATTTGGTGTGTGTGTGTGTGGGGGAGCAGGGGGAGGGTGTAAACAACCACTACATTACCACATGATGTGAAGTTTTTGGTCAATGTGTTTAATCCCACTGATTCAGTGCAAATGTCACCTCTGAAATGTATGCTGCTGCGTGTTTAAAGTGTTCAAATCTTTATGCTGCCATACACAATAATTCCTCAGCTTTGTCCAATGTTGTTGCCTCATAGCTCAAATGTAATGTATGCAAGCAATGCATAATCATTTTTGGATCACTTGATGTCAGCCTTGTAGCTCATGCCTTGGTCTTAGTAACTTGTCTGAAAGTTTTGGAGGAAGTGTTCAACAAGCAGCAGAAAATAAGAAAGGGGGAAAAGCAACTAAAATCTGCCACTGTCTTTCCTAGGATAAACCAAAAAATCTGACAAATTGATGAACAGAACGAAGTTTGAATTCAACTCTTCTTTGTCATCGGAAGTTAAAACTTAAAGTTGGACCAGTTCATCAACATGCTTGATTCTAAAAATAGTCTATGTCCGAGTCCTAGGTTAATCAATTGGAATAAAAACCTGTTTGGAGTCACTGGTGACAAGTCCTTTATTCCCTTTGGTATGACTTTTTGTGTGGTGACATTGTGCCACGGGTTTACTGTGAACTTGTGCAACTGTTTTTATAATGGAAGTTGTACGGTTGCTTTATAATGACACTGTATAAGTATAAGTATAAGTAGTGGCACAACAGGATTGTATTGCTGTTTTAAAATGTTGTTGTACAATGTGTCATTCCATATACGGTACAGGCTTGCTTCACAATTTACTCTCCAAGTGTGTTTACGATTCTTGTTAAAATTCTTAGATGCCTGTTGGGACAAAAATTAATTTCAATCTTTAGATGCTGTGTCTAAGATAAAAAAAAATGTTGACCAAAAAAACAAAATTTATTTAAATTTTTTTTTCAAAACGATCCATTTTATGAGGCCATTTTTTTTTTTCAAATAATTTCTTTTAATTAATTTTGTAAAGATTTCTTTTGGCCATGTTAAATCATAACTATAGATTTTTAACAGCGGATATGCTATATGTAGTTTTCATGTCATCTGTGGCGCCTCAACGGTCCAAGGACTAAGTGACAGGATGATGATGATGATGATTCTATGCTATATAATCCTCTGAATGTTCTTTATTCCTTTTCTTGTCTACTGTATTAGTGGTGATCTCTTGTTTGACATGCATTAAGTGTCTATTGATTGTTAATGTTGTATGCTTCTCTAAGTTATTTTTTCGACAAGACGCATGCTCATGAAGAACAATGTATGTGTGGGCTGTGTATATAAAATAAAACAAACACATTATAAAATTTGTACAATTATTTGACTTGGTCTAAATTAAACTTAACATCAACATTTTGTCTTGAGTACCTTTTTTTTTTACATGAGTGACTGTCCTGATTTAAAAGCTGAGTACACAGTGTGATGTGTCAAAAGATGAGGGCACTGTGTGATGTGCCAAGAACTGAGTGCACAAGGATGTATGCCAGCATATGATATCAAGTTGAATAGAATATTTGGGGGGGGGGGGGGCGCGGGGGACTGATATAAGGCCATATTCAATTTTAAAAAAAAAAAAAAAATGTTAATTTAGTAAAACAACAAAGATTTTTTTCAAACAAATCTTCAGCAAACGTTTCCCCCCTCTTGAACTGGTGCGTTGTTTTGGTTGCCCGACCTGGCATTTCCGTGTCACGTCCGTTACAAGTCAACACCGGTCCTAACGGTAACAGGCTGGTCAACAAAACATGACATTCCCTGCTAAGGGGTTAATCTATCCCTAATCCTTTCCACCTATGCCCCCAGAGGCGTCAAACGCCGAGACATTTCTTTGCAGCTTGTAATCCACGAACCAACAAACTGCACATGCACCAGTGACTTCACGAAGGGGTGTACAGTTGTAGCTTACTGCTAATGTCGCATTGCAAGAGGAAAATGTTTTGAAACAAACATGTTAAAATAATTATGCTGTCTTCGACACTGTTCCTATCGTAATAGGTCAAAGGGAGACATACAATGTTTATCGGTAAACCAGATGTACCCAATATATTGACATGTCTTGTACTGAACTTTACAAAGTGTAAAATAATGGCATTTAAAAAAAAAATTTCGGTGCTATTGACACCCATCTTCCCCCCCCCCCCCCCAAAATGTTTTTAAAAAAAAGGCCATTAAAAAAAAAAATTCCGGGCCATTGAACCCCCACCTCCCCCCCCCCCCCAATGAATTTTTAAAAAAAATCCCCATCTCAAAAACTACCCCATTTAACATTTAACGGATAGAAACAATTTTTCGGTCTAAAAATGAACACACACATTTGTATACAACCACAAGTTAACACCGTTAGAGTGTTTTGAAGCAGGAATTTACGCTGTACGTGATAGAACGGCGCGAATTGGTATTTAAACAACTACTGTTGTCCAGCTTTGGCACGGTTTCTCATAGACTCTCAAAGTAAGAGTGTGAGCTTCCCAAGTCACACACGAAGGGGGCTTCACATTAGACACAACACGCAGGCCTTGTTTAACTTAATGTCAGGGGCGTATGAAGGATGGGGTGGTCCACCCTGGGTGTAACTTTCTTTCCTTATATGAGAGTTTCCTTATATGACTGTAAGCAGAGTTTGTTTCGCGGACGAGGGAGGAAAAAAATCTTGGCACGCTCCTAGTGGCACTAGCCCTAGCTACGCCACTGCTAATTGTAGTTATCAAGCCGAAATATACATCTTATTTTAAGATTATTTAAAAAATAATAAACGTATTATCCAACGTGGCATGCAATGTTGAAGATGTAGGCTACTAAAAATTTTAAGATGTACCTGAAATACATTGAGATTCTTGTCAGGTTGAACCTATGCATACCAAATTAAAAATTATAATTGTATGCCTATTTTACTTGCATATAAGCACTTTATTATGCAGAGAAATATCCAAAGCATGACCCAATCCCAAAACCACTTTCTACGGAGCAACAATACACAATAAAGAAAATGTTAATAATTTTATTGCATTTATTTATTATTTATATTTCTTTAAATTTACTGCATGGTTAGACTTATTACCAGTAGGCCTATGTATTGAAAAGCTCTATAACATAATTTTCCAATTCAAGGCAAATATGGTAATAAGTTAATAAGTGCATAGTGGTTGTGGATTTTAAACATGTGACCTAAGAACTAGCCCACAGAAATGAGTGTGGCTTCTGTTCCAAAAAGCCGATGAGCATGAATTAAACATTTAAAATACATTAATTACAGAACTTTGTTTGTTTTGTTGTTTTTGTTGTTTTTTTTGTTTTTGTTTTTTGTGTGCGTTTTTATCTTCTCAAAAATGTTTGATCTCCACACTCAAAAATCCTGGCAACATAAATGACTGGAAATTGTACAATTTGTTTAAATTCCTTTAAATTCGAGTGGACTAATGATGCTTTTGTTACCAGTTGTATGTAGACTACATGCTTAATGTGGATGAGATGTGGCTTTTAAATTTTATAACAGTGTTAGTGACATAAAAAATTAATTCCTTCAAAGTTTCTCTTTAATTTGATTGACTTAGTTTGCCCCACACCCCATTTTTCCAAACTTCAGCCTTTTGCGGTTAAGTAAACTAAGACTAAGTAGTTTTGGGAGGATGCTCAAATGTGGGGCCTGTGAAGACTGCTTAAAGGTACAACACCTATAAAACCTCGCGCAGTTTGTGCTGGCGTTTAAGATTTTATTTTAAACGAAAACAGTTACACAATTACAGTTTCCTTTAGTTGTTCACCAAAAAAATGACTTCACATTTGTTTTACTTAGGTGAATTGCCTTTTTTTTTTTAGACCGCCCATTTTTAATATTTATTACTGTTAGTTATTATTTTAACTTCCAAATTTTTGCACGTATTTTTGGATATTATTATTATTTTTTTTTGTAAGCAATATTTACATTAAGGTGTATTTCAAGGCATTAATTTGTTGACGTTAAGATAAATAACCAAATTTTTAAAAGGTAAATTTATTCTTCCATTAAAAAAAATAGTAATGGTTCTGTCCTTTTTTCCTTGTCCTTATTCTCAGCGTTAAAGCATTTCTAAACGGTGAATCTCACTGGAAGTAAAACTAAAACATATTTTAATAACACTGCCCCCACCCAAAAAAAAACAACAAAAACAAATACACCTTATTGTGTAGAAGAAAAAATAAGATGAAAGTTTACAAAGTCTTCAAGGACTCCAGCACAATGAAACATTTTATTTTCAGCATTTGTAACTTGCCTGATTGTGTCACCACTGCCAACCAGTGGTACGAATATCTGGACAGATATTTTAACATGTGTCAAAGCTCTGGAAAATCAAACTCTATCGGAAAATGGAAATTTTACAGTTAATTCAACGGCCAACGGAACTTCCATGGAAGAACCAGCTGATCAGCAATTTTCCATGATGAAACTGTTTTCTATAATATGTGGGTAGGTTGTACAATAAGACTTTTGTATATGTCATGTAGACCAAAGAAATGTATAATTTATGTTTTATGTCTCCCCAACAAAGTAGTACTTTGAGCTCCGTTTGTGAGCAAATAAAGATTTAAAAATCTAAAAACACTACTCTTAAGAATTTTTAGGTAACTGATTTGTATATGTGTGAAAGTATTGGAAAACTTATGTTTATGAGATTATAAAAAAAAAAAATTAATCAGTTTTCGATGACATGGTTCAAAGTTTAGGCTAATTTAAATCAAGGAAAGGGGTGATAATCAGTTGTCAGGCTAGTAATATTAGTTACGAGCAATGTTCCCTTTAATCAGCTATCTCATAGATGCCACGCAGCAGTTTTGAGTATCTGCGCAGCAATTTCCATGCAAGTTTGTGAGCTGTTAAATTGTGCACACAAAAAAATTGATGTTGTAAAACTTTGCACACAACTGTATTATTTTGCACACGAACCAACAAATCTTAAAGGGAACATTGGTTACGAGTATTAGTTTTTTCTCTTGTTAACAGAGACAAGGATGGCTTTGTCCAGTGCTTGGACACAAGCCTAAAACAAAGCAGTGATTCTGTAACCCAAATGGTTGGCTCTTTATTTGACCCTAAGATGGTCACTCTGGCATACGCTGGACTTTGCTCAAACATTTCAGGTACATCTTGTCAAAATTGTTTTTGGACTAATAAAACTGAATTTTTTACTATGAATGAAATATTTTCACTTACCAACTTTACAAAGAGACTTCAAGATCAAGTATGTTAACAAACTGAGCTATTTTTTGTAACAGTAACAATGCAAGTGAAAGAGTTTATTATTTTAAATTAATACAAATTTGCTGCTGGATAGTTATTATTTTTCAACCTTTAGTATGATTTAATACTGTTTTTATTCAAAGAAAATGATGTTATGATAAAATTTTAAAATGTTAAAAAAGAACAGCTACTTTGTAGGTCTACACCCATGTAATCAAAACCTGTTTCTTGTCCCCTACAGCTATTGAGCAGGGTGGTGGCGATGTGCTCAGCTGCCTGTCAAAGGTGAGAATGGCACCTTGTCAAAATGAGATGGCAGACTACTTCTTTTACATGGGAGTTGTAAAGAAGTTTGCCCCACCCTCTGAACAGCTGTCAAGAACAACAATGGAGACTCTACTCTGCAGGTATTTGATTAGTCACAATCTCTGAGTGTAATTCTAGGAAGACATTGAACTATTTTCAAAAGTATTCAATAATTCTCTAAGTCAAATTCATATTTTACTCATTAAACTCATTTGCCAGATAATTATCTGTTATATGTGGACACCAAGTATTTAAGAAAAAAATAGTTTTAAAATCAATATAAACCTTAACTGCTAAGTTAATAAGACCATGTCGAGGTGTTTAATTTAATATTATAATCACTTCATGTTCAACTTTTTTTTTTCAACAGTGTGACATTCCAAAGGCGCCAGTGTGAAGTGAAGGCTTTGAGACAATGCAGTGCCAGTTTGGCTGATGTGATGGAGCAGTTTTACCGCCAGACCCAGCCAGACGCATGTGCCGCCCTGGACAAGGAAAACGAATTGAATCAAGAAAATAATGTTCAACAGTGATTGAACTTGTCAAGTCTGGGGTTGTTGTTTCTTGGTGAATTCCTTTATGTAAGACTGATTTGTTCAGTTTGACATTCAGTTGAGTAGTTGCTTTTAAATGTTAAAGATTAGCAAACCAGCCAAAATGAAATATTTGCTTCATTTGTTTATACGCCAAATAAAAAATGATATCGGAGAATCAGCTATTCAAGCAACAATAAACATATAACATTTCATTAAAAAATTGTTAAACCATTTATTTCCTACAATTATCTCTTTAAAATATTATATGGCAATACATTGACCAGTGAATACATTATACAGTTATATAAACAACATAATCTCATAAGCATTCACAATCTCATCCGTTTCCACACAATTCCTGTAGCTGATCTTGTCTGACATTTAGACAAGTTAATTCAGAATTGTTAACTAGGACTTTAAAAATCAGCCCTGATCCACAGACACAAAGTTTGTAGGTCAGCAGGGTAGAGTTGGTGCTCTCAGATGTGTTTACCTTTGGCAGATGTTTACCCAAATAAAGGCCTTGTGTAGTTTTAATAGTTGTAGATGACTGAAAAATTTTGTAACAAAATTATTTGAAAGAAAACTTAATTGAAAATTCATATTATAATTCTAATTCAACATTGAGTTTCTAATTAAAACAAAATATTAGTTATAAATATTATATAGTTCAAAGAAAATATACACTAGTTTGTGTTCCAGCGATTAATTATACTCAAAACATAAACTTTTTTATAATACTGATTATGATTGAAAGTAACATAAAATAATATAGGGCTTTACAAAACCACCATTTACTAGACTCAAGTGGTAACAACTAGTAAAAGATTTATTTGCAAGATTTTTAAAGTTGCCCAAATTAGAAAAAGTAAGTCTAAATGAGATCTCACAGTGACTAAACATATCAAATAATATATGCACTTTCGCACTTTTATAACTAACAGTAACAGGAACAACCTTGGAAACTGTTGAATTTTCAGAATATGCAGTTATTTCCCCTTTTTAGAAACGTTATTGAGCACTCAAATTCAAATATCAAATATTAATTGTTAGCAAGGAGACAACCTTTGAAGCAGCATTCATTTTGCACCCCTTTAAAAAATTTTTAAAATAATTTTTTTACATTTGTAGATATTTGTGAATTTTGCATATGGACACTCATTAATTTATTATGGATAGCATATCTCAGATATCTAAGTATATGTATTAAAAATTTAACAAATTTGATGGAGGTAGGAATTTCAAGAGGAATTATTAATGTTAATTTTGTTGAAATGATCGTTTCTTTTTACTTGCAAATTATTTCTAATGTACTCTGTTTAAAGCATTAATTTTTTCCTGTCAATTTTTTCAGTTTATTATTGATAGAAATTAATAATTTAGTGAGGTGTTGTGAAATAAGGTGCTGACTATTCCCTCAAGCCAAATACTAAACAGTTGTAATCAATACTGCAAAAATAATGTCATGGGATTTCACTTATTGGCTTGAGCAGTGATTGTTTTGTAGAAAAAATGTGCTGGAACTCAAATTTGTTTAATTTTTTTTAATATATATAACTTGAGTTAAATTTTGCTGAAAATAGGTGCTGACCGTATTCTGTGACAAAAAGAGCCCAATAGAGTTGAGTCATATAATGTCTCAGACTTAAAAATGAATGTTAAATAAACAAGGATTAAATCTAGTTTTTAATAATCCTATCATGACTCTGTAATCGTCTGCTGCACCTTAACACTGAGTCTGAACCTGTCCGTCTACCCTAATTTCTGCACATACCTGTGATGAGATGATGAACCTATCTGTCTACCCTAATTTCTGCACCTGCCTGTGATGATGATGAAGAACCTATCCATGTAACCTAATTTCTGCACCTATCTGTAATGAGATAAAGAGCCTCTCCGTCTGCCCAAATTTCTGCATCTATCTGTGATGACATGATGAAACTATCCCTCCACCCATTTTTTCAAACTAGTTTCTGCACCTACCTGTGATGAGATGATGAGATTCCTTGAAGATAAATCTGCAGTTTTTTGTGACTGCATTTCCAGCCCAAGTGACCCAGAAATAGTCAAACTTTGTGCTGATTCTAAATATAGATCTCTGAAGTCTTTGACTCCGAAAATCTGGTGGTAAAAAATATCCAAAGGAATTCCACACGATTCGCAAAGTATCTTACTTAATCACTGTCCAGAAACATTGAATATATAATATGAGTTATAGGGGTAAATTCAGAAAAAACAATATTAACAAATTTTTTTTTTGGGGGGGGGGGGGAGAGAGATAGAGCAAAAATACTAAATAAAAAAAAAAAAAAAAAAATTAAAAAAATTTTTTTTTGGGGGGGGGGGGGAGAGAGTTAGAGCACTAATACTAATTAACAGTAAAAAAAAAAAAAATTATACTGAAGATACACATTTCTAATGAATGAAGATCTGCGTCCAAGTTGTGTGAAGGACATACTGGAACTAGGTATGTGGAAGCTTGAAATATATGTAGACAAGTCAATAAAAGAACGTTTGGGTTGGACAAAGGAAGAAACAACCAGCAATAGAAAGTGGTTTCATTAACTGTGATGAGATGTTTGGAGTTCGCCATAAATGTTATTGCCGAAAGTTATTTCCTAATAATGAACTTTATTACAAATTTGGTTTGTTAGCTGCACATCTATTGGTAATCTAGGAAATTTTTGGCAGCCCATAATTTCATACATAATCCGAAAGAGGTCAATCAAGTTTTGCCTTACAACTTTCAATTTAATCTGTAAACATTGCTATCACAAATAACCCAACAAAATGTAAAACAACATATTTCTTGCAGTTTGGTTTCATTTCCTCTAATTAAAGTATATAATAAAGGTGAACACAATGACTGTAATCTCCTTCAAACACCATTATTTTTGTAAGCACCTAAAAATTAATTTAAAGTTACCTTCACCATTAATCTAGGAGTTTGAGAAATATAATGACAAAAAAAGATTACTAGCTACCTCTCCTGCTCTCTCATAATATAGCCGTAGAGAAAACGTTTAAAAATTCTTCATTAAATGTATAATCTTATCAATAGGTTTATTATACATTTTAAAAAAAAAACCATGAAGGGGGGAAACCACCCATTCTGGGAATGGGGATTGTAGAAGCCATTTTCAGAATAGATACCATCTGGTTAAAAATGTTCTTAAAAAGAAGAAGTTACCCCATGTGCTATTAGTGCTATGCTATTTCATATGGGGAATGCAAGTAGACCGCCTAGTAGATCGCAAAACATTTTTAGAAAGCTAGGATTTTACTAATGAAACATCCGCTTATTATTGTATTCAGTTGGCAAGTTTTTTTATAATACATTTGTAAAAAGAAAAAAAACTTACCTGCTTGGCTGTGACATTATGTGCAGACAAATTTTGTATGAGTTCTTGTGCAGCCAGGGATGTCAAACTGGTTGTAACCCAGTCAGTACTATTTGTTGTCTTAACAGAAAACTTATCTGTGACCATGGTAACCTCATTACTCTCTAACACAATGGATGAACTTGTTTTGGGTGATGTCAGTTTCATTTCCAACTTTAGGGGATGGAAAATATATTTGAAGTCCATAATTCATCAAAATTAAAAAATTGTATTTAACAAAACACACCAAAAAAACCCAAACTATTGAACAATAATAGAAAGCAACAAATGACCATTGCTAAAACCTCAAGAGATAGATCAATTTGTTAAGATCTTTTCATAGGGATGGTGTTTTCCATTTAGCAAATAACATGTGATGTGTGTAACTCATAGTTTTTAAAATAAATTTTTTTAAAGAAATATTACAGTATATGTGCTGGTATAAGTTGCCAACATGTCTTTTGGGTATTTTCTTGTTGATTTGATGTAAATGTAACCTCTTTCTAAATATATCAGTATTTTGGGGGGTGGGGGGGGGTGGGGTTGGAGTTTTTGTGGTTTTTTTTAATTATTATTATTAACAGTCAGGGCTTTCTCCCTTACCATTTGGTTTTTATAAGTAACTTAGCTTGACAGTTTTATCTAACTATAAGATGCGGGGAGCTAGGGACTGAAGTGTGTTAAAGTTTGAAAACTGTTTAAACATTCGATCATCAGAATCCTTGTCCAAACAGATTATCTCCTGGTATAGATTCATTTTTTTCTGTAAATATACATTGAAATGCGGGGGGCGGGGGCGGGGTGGCGTGACGACACGAATCAGGTTTGAATCTATTAATGTAATCATTGAAGACAACGAAAACTCAATTTTAAATCTTACGGGACCATTTTCAGCTTCTATTGAAAGCTTGGAATTAAATCTCGAGCCTATTGGCACGCTGTTAGTAGACATTATGTCGATTTTGGCATTATCCAGAACTCTGAGGAAATTTCGACCTCCCATGTTGGCGAGCTCCATACTTTCCATGCCGTTGAGAGTCATCCTTAAAATATACAGCAACCAGCCAATCACCTTGAATGAGATAAAATAAAATATCTTTGAATATTTAATGTTTAAAAAAAATATATTAATTTTTAAAACCTAATTAAGTTCTAGATCACATTATTTTTAGGAGGGGGGTGGGAGGGGCGACGGAGGCCTGTATTTAAAATTTGTACCATTCTTATGCAAGTATTTGGTTTTCTGAAGTTGTCACATTTGTTTATGGCCATAAACTGTGGAAGAATATGATGAAAACTTACAAGCTATTTAAACTATGAGACCTATGATGTGTTGATACTATTTATTTCTTTAATTACAAATAAAATAGTACACGTCTTATCCTAGCTGTAGAAAATTAGGTATGGTTTTTTATAATCTACAGTCACTGACTTCCAATTGGGGGTCCGTTTTTAGAATTCAGGAATCAGGAATGCAATGAAATAATATCTGTGTTTTCTTTTTTACTATAAATTTTTTTTTCTTTTCAGAAGGAGTCTCAAACAGACAGCCAAAAGTATCCATGTAACTATCAAAATAAGATAAAAATCCTATTAATTTGGAATAGCTAACAAAGTAAGATATTTGACTTACTACAATATTAATAACAGCTAGGAACATCAACACAGCAAGAACACAGTAGAGGAAATAACGCTTGCGTCCCCTGATGCCAGCCCGATGCAAAGCATCCTCTTCTACAGGGACATATCCAGCTCTGTGAGCAATAATTATAATTATTTAGTAGGATATATAATGATGTTAAGCAGTTTTCATGTTTAAAAAATATTTTATAACTCTTTGATGCGCAGAAGAGCTCCATAAGATTATTGAAATTACAATCACTTAAACAGCATTACGACTCAATAACGATCATGGTACTGACTCACACCTGAAGTTACTGTTGTGTGTTGCATTGACCTTCCTCTTACGGGCAGCTTTAGCCCTCATGGACAATGTGGAGGCCCCGATTGAACCAACGGACATTGCTGAGCGGGGATCAGCCCTGACTCCAATGGTTGACACATCGCCAGTGCTTACTCCCTGGGGGTGGAGAAAATTATTAGTTATCAAGTTCAAACACAGGATCTACACTCAAATGTACTGAATGGGTCACTGACTCCACTGACCTACTGAATCCCCTGACCAAATGAATATACTGACCAAATAATTTTATTTACCAACTGACCAACCAAATGATTCCATTTACTAATTGACTCCTCTGACCAACTTGACTCCATTTACTAATTGACTCCACTGGCCAATTGACTCCACTGACCAAACGATTCCATTTACTAATTGACTCCACTGACCAATTGACTCTACTGAACAATTGACCCCATTTACTAATTTACTCCACTGACCAAATGAATCCATTGACCAACTAAATCTACTAACTCTTCTGTCCAACTGACACCAGTGGTCAAATGACCCCAGCCCCTCCACTAATAGACTCCCCCAATCCAAAGGACTTCTCACCAACCTCAAGAACATCAGAATAAAATCTATAAATGATTTGCCGATTTGCTTGCGTGGAAAAACACATGAAATTAATACTATCAATGTCTCACCTCGGTTGCCAGAGTTGATCTTGTCACTGATGTATTCATGTTTTCATCCAACTCACACAATTACACAAAACTTGAAGAAATGCTGTGTCGTGTGTGTGTCGACTTTGGTCCACTTCAAGGAAATAATTTGGAAGGTTGATCCCACGAGAACACAGGGACATTTACCTAAGAACACAGTGACATTTACCTACACATTCACGTCATCTGAATCTCAAGGTCGCCTGGTGATCCATTAAAAAAAAAATTAATTTAAATCTCCCGAAAATAATCTTTTCTTCATTTAGATTTGTAAACATGGAGTTCGGCCATTTTGAAGAAAGCCTTCCACTTAATTTAATTTTCTCCGCACTCCCCCTCCCCCCCCACACTAGTTTTTTCTTCCTCTTTTCTTTCTTTCTGGGAGTGAATCCTCGTTCTTGAAGGCGCAGTACCAGACATCACCCCTCTCACTGCACTCATCTATTTATAGCTCAGGTCGGCGCACACAGCTAGGCCTACCGTTGAGTGGTCGTGCTATAGGTAGAGGTCAGAGCAGGGGCGTAGAAAGGGGGGTGGGTGGGTTCGTAGGGGCGTGTCCGACCCGGGTTCCATATTTTTCTTTCTATGGAGGGGCGTGGCACGTTCGGCCACATTCTACTTCAGGTTTAACCCTACTCTGTTTTACTCATTTTATTTTGGACTAACCTGATTGCAGTCTTTCCCCTTATTAATATTCGGCCAACTGTATAATTTTTCCGGGGGGGGGGGGGCTGTAATATCTTGGTCTGCCCCCCCTGCGGAACTTACCTTCCTAGCTACGACACTGAGTCAGACGATATGCGGAACCACAGTTCTAAAGCCAGTCTTTTATTTATTTTCGGCACTTGTTTGTAATGAAATCGACATTTTCTCATTTTAATTGTCAGAGACATTTCTATTTTTTAACACAAGCCTTTTAAAAAAAAAAATTTAAAAATCGCAATTTTGATTTTGTCTTCACTTATTGAAGTAGAATACCTAATTGAAGCTTTGATTGGATTGTTTCAAGGTAGATAATTCTACTTTCTGTTGCAATTCAAGTTTTAAACATTGAAGTCTCTCCCTTGCTAATCACAACCTCAACACCTTTACTTTCACTTTTCGTTAGAGGTCGTGTTCATCAAATGTTTCAGGATAAATAATTATCTAAGTCAGTGCTGTCAGTCAACCGACCCACCAGAGCTCGTCATATTATTTTGATTTGAGTTTTAAAAAATGGTAGTCACCAGTCGACCACACAGTATAGCTGTGCAATGTTGAAGAATAGCGCCCCTTGACTTTATGGCGTGAAGCTCGTACAGTACATGTCAGGACCTTGGGAGCCTTATGGGGGGGGGGGGCAGGGGGGAAAGGGCCCCCTGGGGGGTACCAGTAAAAAGGCGATTTGGGAAAGCCTTGGCTTTGGGAAGCCCGGGGATTAAACTTTTAAAAAACAATTTTACACAAAGTGTCACAAATTCTTTACCGAATTCAACTCAGAATGATACATTTCAGGATGAGGAAGGTAACGTGAGTGACACAGACGGCTGCAGTGCCAGTGAAAAAAAAAAACCGGGGGATCGAGAGCGCCTCACGGGGGCCCCCTTACGTTCGGGGCCCTACGCGGATGCGTAGTCAGCGTATGCCTAAGAACGGGCCTGATAAGATCTTTAAGACCTAATAGATCTAAAAATTATAAGGCAAGCATAGAGCTCCGTCACGTCAGGTGATAAAACTAGGTTAATCACGATGTTGAATTACAAGAATTAGGTTAATGAACTTTTTCTAAAAAAAAAAAAAAAATCTTTTGAAGATATTTTTAATTCGTTTAGAGAAAGAAAAAAAAATAATAACTGCCGACTATTACCTTCCTCAAGCGTCAGTGAAATTGTTCCTGCTACAATATTTAAAAAAAAATAATAATAATAAATTGTAACCAAAGTTTAGTCTCAATAAACGGGATGCCGTTGCCGTTAGCCTTTGACACACTCTTTAAGAGGGATGTGCCGATGCCTTCAATTCACAGGTGGTTTTTTTTTTTTTTTTTTTTTTTTTTTTTTTTTTTTTTTTTTTTTTTTTTTTGGATTGGGGGAAAAGGGGGGGGGGAATGAAAGATATCCTCAGCAGCTTACATAACTTATTTGTTTGACCTGCGCACCGAGTGAATGGCCAAACTATTTCAAGCACGATTAATCTTTTAAAAAACACTAAATAGTTCCTATCGAAATACGATTTTTGTGCGCGCCCCCCCCCCCAAATCACCACAACCCCGATGATGGCGCCCGGTGCGAGTGCCCTCTTCGCGCGGCCCTGTTTGGGCTCCGAGTATTACCTCTCATGTTTGGAATATTTCATTTAGAATTTGAGCATCTGACTTCAGCTCTTATAATAAATGACGTCAGTTAAGAGCTGTTTATAAGATAAGATTCTTTTATTGACCCAAAGAAATGGAAATATTTTTTTTTATTACACTGTACATATACATTTGCAGCTCAGAAACAACTTCGTATTTCAATAACGAAGTGGCTATTCGGACCCGGGTCCGAGAAATTAGATGTTGGGATTAAAATTTAAAAAAAAAAAAAAAATTATTGTCAGGTTGTAAGAAAACATTTGGTATCAAATGAAAGATAATTGAATGGACTACATTTTTTAAACGTAATTCTTCAGTTTAACTAAAATAAACGACCACAAACGGCATCCAAATAGCATTGAGTCTTAAGGGACCCGGTCCGACTAGCGGCGATGCGTTTCCGGTTCCATTGTGACATTAAATTTAAGTTAATATGACGGTTGTGTTTTGTCCTATGATCTAACCAACAATTTAAGTTAATATGAGAGTTGTTTTTTGTCCTGTGATCTAACCAACAATTTAAGTTAATATGAGAGTTGTTTTTTGTCCTATGATCTAACCAACAATTTAAGTTAATATGAGAGTTGTTTTTTGTCCTGTGATCTAACCAACAATTTAAGTTAATATGAGAGTTGTTTTTTGTCCTATGATCTAACCAACAATTTAAGTTAATATGAGAGTTGTTTTTTGTCCTATGATCTAACCAACAATTTAAGTTAATATGAGAGTTGTTTTTTGTCCTGTGATCTAACCAACAATTTAAGTTAATATGAGAGTTGTTTTTTGTCCTATGATCTAACCAACAATTTAAGTTAATATGAGAGTTGTTTTTTGTCCTATGATCTAACCAACAATTTAAGTTAATATGAGAGTTGTTTTTTGTCCT